ATAAGCCCCTTTAAGCTAATTTTTTTTCCCCGATAATCTACAGAACAAACCATCGATATACAATAACTTTCCTAATTATCCTAACCTGCCTAGTTCACCTTATTAACCTAGTTAAGCCTTTAAATGTCACTTTAAGCTGTATAGAAGTGTCTTGAAAAATATCAAGTAAAATATTGTTTACTGTCATCATGGCAAAGATAAAATAAATCCGTTATTAGAAATAAGTTTTTAAAATTATTATGCTTATAAATGTGCTGAAACAATCTTCTCTCCATTAAACAGAAATTGGTGAAAAAAATAAACGGGCGCTAATAATTCTGACTTCACAAGTGTATATATACATATATATATATATATATATATATATATATATATATATATATATATATATTCGTTTAAAAATTTGACACTTGAGTGTGTGTGTGGGTGTGTATTAACATACACCTTCTGGCAAGAATAAATTGAACTAGCCTTGGTAATATATGAGACTTCTTTCCACAGCTTCCTTTCTTACCAGCTAATCTCTCATCGGCTATATAGGGAATGTATGAGATCATTCACACTGACCAGTTATTCATAAACCTAAATGTGGCCCACTGAACAGCAAAGACGACAGATAAGACGCTGCAATAAAAGCCATGCAGTGTGACAATCACCTGCTCTGTAATTCCAACACTTACTGACCTTGTAAATGTGAATAACAAAGCTGCAAAAGTCTGTGTTGTGGTTTAACAGCAGGTCTAGACAAGTTTGCCTGCAGCGGTAGCAGCTTTATCACTTATTTTGCTTACAGTCATTTACATCAGCTTCTCCACTGCCATTTTCTCACTCGAACAGGAAGTGTACCAAAACTTCAGAAAGAGAGAGAGAAAAAAGAGCCATCAATATGTCAGCAGTCAAGCTCATTTCCGGCTGATGTGGCCCTTGTGGCTTTCGCTGATTTGAATACCGTCGAGAGAAAGAGAAGAAACAGCAGAGCGGTTTAACTATCATTTAAGATGGCGTACAAAGCAACAAGTGAGCGCAGCACTTGTTATTAACAGCTGTGTCAGCAAGCGCAGCATTTGTGCCGTCCAGCACCGGCCGCCCATTACTCTTCTCTGTGTGCAACAGTTTAGCAGCTGTGCGGCCTTTAGAGAGCAAGCGGGAGACATCCTGTTTTTACAGTGGGATTTGCTGGGGGGTGTGGAGGGAGCTGACCTGTTTCAAAACAGCACAGCATAGATAGAGCACCTTATTTTGGGAGATTAACTCGAATAGTCATATGACAAATATTTGTGAAACAGCGATAAAGAGATTTTGGGTCATCCAGGATTCAGGAGTCTTAACATTAGTTGTGCTTTTTGGCTGAAAATGTGGTACTTTCACAGTCAAGAAAACATATACAGGCAAAATAAAAATGAATTCCCTTGGATTCTGATGATACATTGAGATCTCATTCAGCAAAATGACTGATTGGTGAATAAAAATGAAAATTATTCACTACATTATTACCTTTAATCCATTGTTTTGGTAAATATTTCTCAGTGCACTCACAAATGAAGAGCACTAGCTTCCTGTTTTAAAATTACGAATGTGCAGGTGTAGTTACCCCGACAAAGTATAATTTAACGATGAAACTGTATCATTAACTTTTAACAATTTTCCCATCGTTTGAGATCGGGCTAGGTCATTAACTTAAAGTAATTGAAATCGACATACAGCACCTACAATCTGTGAAATTTTTCCTGAACGATTTTGTCTATTGAAGGCTGAAGCTGATTTATAATTCCGTAGCTACTTTGCAGCCACATCTGATCTCTAGTCAACGAGGATGATGGACCCATTCTTGAGCCTTACATTTCACTGCATGGCATATTTTCCATTACGTTAAAATATATATTTTTTTTTATTGAAATGTTTTTTTTTAGTTTAAAATATTATTTACAGGATATACAAGAGTTATTTTACTTCGAAACATGCTGCTTATTTTCTACTTTTCATATGAAATTTAATATGAATTTGTTTCCAAAAGTGCAAGTTATTTAGGCAATGTGTGCTCTAATTTCAGTTGTTTAGCATTGATGTTCAATAAATAATCATAAAGAGTAGATAAAGGATGTTTCCTTCAATGATTTTAAAATGAAGTAATGCACCCTTCGTTCAAAAATCTATATGAGCATATTTACTGTACAAAACTTGTCAATGAACTATGAGGGCAAAAAAGTAAATAAAATAATAAAATAATTGTTTATTAATTGTAATCGAGTTGAAATGTTCAAATAGTCGAGATTTTGATTTAAGGCCAAATTGCCCAGCCCTAGTTTGAGATATAGATTTGTGCTTCAGGAGGCTTGTGAACAGAACATCTGCAGATTATACATAATGGGTGTAATCTAGAAAGCAGGTTTAATTTATTCCTCACATTAAATCCCGAACTCTATGTTTTTAACCCTGAACCAGCTAAATTTGGGTATGACAATTTCAAAAACTTGATATATTTTTATTTTACAATTATGTGAGCAATACATTTAATGCAAAGTGTCAAACATGTAATATTAGGACAATTTTCTCTCTTTTTAAAGAGAGTTCTAAGTTTTTCTTTTTTTTTTTTTTTAGATATATTGAAATATTAAGAAACACTCACATATTAAGCTCAGAGCTGAACTAAGCCTGAAAAAGAAGCAGGTTGTGTTCCGAGTTGCTATGGTAACTTGCCAAGGTTACCTCAGTTTTTTTTAAACAAAAGCTTGGGTTATGCACTTACATGTACACTTTAAAGTTCCAAAGCGATCGTTATTCTATTTCGTATTGTGACGCAGTTCCTAGAGAAACAACATTTTAATTGAGCAAACAGTGGGTGTGGCTTGTTTTTACTTCCACTGGTAGAATGGATGTAGCAGAGTAGGTATTTCATTCAGAAAGATCGGGAAAAGGGTTTTAGAAGAATTATTACAACCTAACAGGCTCTTCCAGCTCATCATTTCTGTTTGCTGTCAAAACTGACAGTTGAACAGCGTGGTTATATTTGTTAGCCCCGCCCATTACATCAAAATCACAAACTCTGACAATAAAACAAAAAACAAACATGAAGTGCATTTTCAGATATCAATTAAAGATTAGAAGGGCAAACATTTTTTTCCCTAATGACATACACAACAAAACCATATGGTTTGTTTAGATTTCTTGGGGATTTTAACTTATCTGGGTATGTCACATAACCCACTTTCTGAAATGCCCGCAAAACTGTTACATTTCTTGCACAGATTAAGTGTTCTTCTTCCTATAGCCTAAACTTTTTCTTATGAAGGGCCAAAAAAACAAACAAACTTGATTGAGGGCGGTGGGTCGAAGGTTAGTATATCAAGCTATATTACAAAGTTTCCTCATTTATTTCAAAATAAATAGAAAACATTACTTTAATCATATTAACTAATGCATTATTATATATATATATATATATATATATATATATATATATATATATATATATATATATATATATATATATATATATATATATATATATTTACATTTCACAATGAACCCATTATAATGAAAACATAAGAATTAAATTTATAACACTATGGAGTTTAATGCCGAATACACTAACCTAGCTGTATCTCCCTTTGCCTTGATTTGCTCACTGAGGACTTCTGAATTGTGGTCTGTCCATTAAGCAACAGGATGTTCAATTAAGAAAAAAAATAAATTACAAAATCTAATTGAAAGATTTAAGCAATGTTAGTTTTTTGTAGCTTCACAATAAAACAAATCAAAAGGTTTCGTTAAATTAGAAATGACAATGTCAAATGCTTCCATGGACCAAATTTGGCCTGTGGGCTCTAGTTTGGGCATCTCTACTATAGACCCCATCATCAGGATTGACTGGTATTCCTTTTGTTTGGTCTGCAATCTGCATATGAGAAATTCCATGCAAATTCCATGCATGTTTTTGACAAAATAGAGAAAGCGTTTCTACTTTTTTGTGTGTGTGTTTGTGTGTGTGTGTGTGTGCGCAAGCAAGTATTTTACTGTACTTTACAAATACTCAAAAATGTCTCTGTCAATGTTTTTTTAAAGTATTATATATGATTTACCATAAACACACAAGGAGCAATTTCACACGCATCACATCCATAAAAGCTTTTTCCTCATAAATGCAAAAAATGTCAAATAAAATCAATAATTTTGTTTTATAGTGAGCCAAATATTATTGTTTTGATTACCAATATTTCTTTTGGTTTGTGAAGTTTTATTCGCTGAATTTCTACAAAGCATGTTGTAAACTGTAAACTCTCAGACTTTGTCGTCACATCCATAACGCATGTTTATTTTGCTCAGTTAAAATATAAAAAAATGTTCACAGATTGATGTATTTCAGATTCCATAACTGGTTCGTCGTTTTGGAAAATATAAACAGCTGTTTCGATATAATATTACCGCATACTTTCTCTGTGAATTTATGTTTTGAGTTTTTACTGCAAATGTCACCTCCATAACGCTGGAATTGCTCCTATGCTTTTTTTGACTCACAAGGTAACAGCAGTCATTGACTTGCAATTTATGTACCACAATTTCAGCTAAAAAGCATAATGAAATGTACTACTAAATAGTCACCAGGATGGTCTGAGATAGAGTAAATGAACAAATTCTGGGATGAACAACCGCTTTAAATTTGCAGCAGTAAGGTGTCTGCAGTCCTGTGGCCAAACACAGTCAAACATTAAACCCAACACACATTCTTCAGAATCTTATCAGCCGTGGATTCCAAAGTGCTCAGTTTGGAAAACACTGTGCAAATACATTTGTGCTGCAAACTTTACAAAAAGAAAAAAGAAAGTATTTTCCATGCGCGCTATACCTAGAACACGACTAAAAACAGAAATGTGGAGGAATCCTCGACCAGTGCAAAATGCATTTTCCATATGACTTTGGTTTGGCTTCGCAAATGACAGTGGAAACCCCCGTGGCATCAATATGCATCATGAATCGGTCAGAACAAGAACCAACTAAAAGGATTAAAATGACTAAGTTTAATTTGACAATTACATAGCTGTTTCTGTACATGGATGTTTCTCAAAATGATTAAAGCAAAGAGAGAGGGAATGAACAGAATGAAACATTTCTCCCCAAAATGAACAGTTTAGTCCACTCTATTGCAAGCAACTACACTTGAATGTAACAATCCCACATTTGAGAGACATACGTGTGAGTGTCAAAGACAATCAGGCCAATGCAATTAGCCAAAATGGTAAAGGGGCTGCAAAAGGCATCCCCATGATGTTTGAAAGTGAAGTCTCTTTAACATTAAACTGGTTTTGGGCATCGCAATGCAAACACTCATGGACTTCCTGTGGATTTTCAAGCTTTTGAGTTTGATTATGCTCTGTGAATACAAGTTATGTCTGTGGTAAGCCCGCCATCAACGATTAGGCTTTTTGCATAAAATGTTCCATGGACTCATTTACATGTTGATTATCGTTGGATGTCAGTGATATCATAACTATGGCACGGTTCAAAACCTGTTACACCACATAGCTACCTACAATTAGTATGCTACAACCTCCTCAGCAAATCTGTGCTTTGCTACAGTGGATGCCTCGATACATTTCGGTATAAAATGCCTTTAACACGCTGTTGGACTGTTTGGTGGAGACAAACTCCAAGACTTTTTTGACTCAAAGAAGCTGAAGTAGAGAAAACAAATATAGAAAAACCTACAATCAATCAACGAAAGGGAGGAAAAAAAAAATAGAGAATCTTCATTTAGGAATGCTTTATCATTGTTAAGCAAGAGTCCGAGATGTGTGTGACAGCTGTCACAGTACACAGGAAACTGAAAGCAAGCCAACCCCATTACGTCGCTTCAAAAAGGCCCGTTTGAAAACAAACCAAAAATAAATGTTAACTCTAAATCAAAACAGCACGAATATATTCGTTGGAGAGGTCTGATTTGCTCCAATATCCAGTTCATTTGTCCTAAACAGTCAGTGCCAGAGTCATTAAGACTTGTAGTTAGATGTTAACCAAGTTAAGCCTTCGTACAGTCCATCTCCAGTGGTCGCACATGAGGGCTGCACGTACCAGTTTCTATCCCGGATACGTGTCAGTCCCAGCTTCTCCTGGATCTCATGCGGCTTCATGGCGTCCGGCAGGTCTTGCTTGTTGGCGAAAATCAAAATGATGGCGTCCCGCATCTCTCGGTCGTTGATGATGCGGTGGAGTTCCTGCCTGGCCTCGTCTATGCGATCTCTATCTGCGCAATCCACCACGAAAATTAACCCCTGCGTGCCTGTGTAATAATGTCGCCAGAGGGGACGGATCTTGTCTTGTCCGCCCACGTCCCACACGTTGAACTTGACGTTTTTGTAGGTGACCGTCTCTACGTTGAAACCCACAGTGGGGATGGTGGTCACAGACTGGCCGAGTTTCAACTTATAAAGGATGGTGGTCTTCCCTGCCGCATCCAGACCCAGCATCAATATTCTCATCTCTTTGTTACCGAATATCTTTGACAGCATCTTCCCCATCTTGTAAACTGTTCATAAATGGTCAATTCCCTCCAAAAGAAAAACAATTATAAACCTTGTAGCAGGAGTTACTAAAAGTTTGATTTGTTTATAGGAATGTCAATTTTGGAAGTGATGTTTCTGAATGGGGAATATATTTCCAAGCAATAAGCACCACTGTACTGCTGATTAGCATAAATGACAGTACTGAAAACTTTCAGTACAACACGCACAAATGTAAAGGTCAAAGTTCGACTTTGCTTCGGTTTTAGGGTGTTAATACTTTGAAAAACACCACAGTCGATAATGATAATCCACCAAACTGCGACAAAGTAGCGATTTCGGGGCTTTTCCTGTGTGTGTGTTCAGTGCGGCGAGGCCTCTTTAAGAGCCTGCGGTCTTTCAAGACTTCCTCTTGGCGTGTGAATGTCCGTCTCGAGGGTTCTCTCACGTCCTTCCCCCTAAATGTAACCGGATAGCAGCTGAAGACGTCTAAAGCCTCGGCGGAAAAGCGTTCATTTGGCCGAGCTGCGAGTCTGTCATCTGGGCCGTCCGAAGAGGAGCCGCATCAATTTCAACCGTCCCGAATTCGAACTGTCTCACGTGCCCCTGAGAGACAAGAGAGGCTCAGAGGGAGTGCCAGAAAAAAAGCAACTTAGCCTGCTAGCTTAGCCGGCCGAACAACCCACATAAAATCTCAGAACACACACTTTTTACACACATGTTCGACATGATATGTGAAATATAAACATTAACGAGTGGTTTTCATTCATTTTAGAGAGACTATATGCGTTTTGGTTACCTGCGGAGGCCCAGCATTCTCTAGCAGTCTCAACCCGGTGTTCACTCCTAAATTCAGCCGAGTTCAGTGTGAAACTGACGACGTCAACGCTAACCAGCGGAAATAACCGTTAGAGTCTGATTTTCATAATAAAGGTCTTAGAGAGCGTTGAGTAAGGAAGGCTTTGCTTTAATACAAACCTTTCAAATGCACGCATTTTATTTAGTATCAACGCTCAGGGTAGTTAGCAAGAAATGCATTATTAGTTATTTCAATATCATTAGCAATAACACAAGAACAAATCGACTACTAACGTGAAATATACGTCAACATTTTTGAATAATACATTTTTAAAAGGTGCTTATGCATAAAAAATTGTACAAAAGAAATGAAGTAATAAAAAATTGGAAATTTCTTAATATTCATGTTATATTTCTCAGCCTCGTTTTGTTCCAAATCTATTTCTTCCGTTGAGCACAAGAGGAGATATGTTGAAGATGTTGGTAACCAGACTACTGTGATGCCCGTTAACAGCAGTCTGGGAGACAGTCACTTGTCACCACCTGCTGGCGTAAGTATGTAACCTGCAGAAAAAATGGCATCCATCAATTCAAGTATCTAATCTACAGTCTGGAGTAAACACAGATAAGTAAAATGAAATAATAAATAAATAAAAAACACACACACACTGAAATAAAATTATATGGGTTCAATTGCTTGATTGATTTAGGGTATTACAAAATATTTTCAGTTATAATTATTGTAAACATTAGAAATGCTCTTCTGCTGCTCAGCAATAACTCTGTGAATTATTATTTAAATTGAAGATAGCTGTTCTCTATTTAAATACATGGTTAAGACTTTATTTTGATGGTCCATATTGCACATTTTGTTGACATATTACATGGCAATTATTTCTCAAAAAAGAGTTAATCTATTTTTATTGCTAGAAGTTACTTTACTTTACGGCAACGCAGTGGCCCAGGTAGTGCTTTTGCCTCACAGCAAGAAGGTCGCTGGTTTGAGCCTCGCCTGGGTCAGTTGGCATTTCAGTGTGGAGTTTGCATGTTCTCCCTGCGTTTGTGTGGGTTTCCTCGGGGCGCTTCGGTTTCCCCCACAGTCCAAAGACATGCGAACAGGTAAATAGGGTAGGCTAAATTGCCCGTAGTGTGTGTGCGTGTGTGGATGTTTCCCAGAGATGGGTTGTGGCTGGAAGGGCATCCGCTGCGTAAAAAAAAAACATGCTGGATAAGTTGGCGGTTCATTCCGCTGTGGCGACCCCGGATTAATAAAGGGACTAAGATGAAAAGAAAAAGAATGAATGAACTTTACTTAACACATAATAAAAATAATAATCAAAGACTATAGATTTTAAAAAAGAATAAGCAAGCAGTGTATTCTATAGCCTTTGGTTATTATGCATGTGTTTGTTTTTGATGCTTTAATAATAATAATATATATATGCCTTAAAGGGACTCTAAAATAATAGCACAAAGGGACCTCGCCCTTTTTTTATATCTCAGCTGTCATTAGACACACCTGCTGATTGGCAGTAAGTGTGTTTTGGGCAGTGACCTATAATAAAGTTAGCAAGTGTGTTTTGGGCTCTGATCTAATAGTCAACCTTTGAAGTGGATCATCACCTTTCACCAAAGTTGTTTTAAAATTATTGAACAACACCTATTCTTGTCTTAGGACAATTTATAAAAGACTGTTTTGATCCAGTTTAAATGTTGACTACTGTACTCCTCGGTTAAAATTGTTGAGTTAAAATACCCCAACATATAACTCATCTAGGTTTTATAACACCTTTAAAACTCATTCATTCATTCATTCATTCATTCATTCATTCATTCATTCATTCATTCATTCATTTTCTTTTTGGCTTAGTCCCTTTATTAATCTGGGGTCACCATAGCTGAATGAACCGCCAACTTATCACGCATATGTTTTACGCAGCTGATGCTTTTCCAGCTGCAACCCATCACTGGGAACACCTTCCTAACTATGGGGTCTATTAACCTAGTGCATTAAGCTATTTTGATTCAATGTTAATTGATCCATTATGGAATTACCATTGCCACTGTTACTAGTACTACTATTAATTTTAGAATTATGGCTGTGTAAATAAACAACAAACAGTTAAAAAATACTTAAAATGCTTTGTTTTCATTATATTTTAAATTCCAGCCACGTTTGTAAAAATAAAACAAGAACCACAAATAATGAAGAAACAGCACAGAGTACAGATGGTTAGAAATGTGCAAGCTGAAAATCCAGTGTTGATGGGGCAGAATATGGAGTTCTGTGTGCTGTAGAGACTGTCCAGCAGCTGCAGCAGACTTCACTCAGTGTCCACAATGTACACTTCCACCACATCCAAACGCTTCTATATGATCTTGCTTTGGTGCCATTTCTCTCATAGATGTATTACATAATCAGATTTTAGTGGATTAGCCTATTGTTTAATGTACCTTCTAGATCCATAATGTTGCAAAATATTGTATTCTGAATAAATGCAGTTATTCTGAATATCATTTAAAGATTCTTAAAAATTAAAATGTTGCACAGTTTCCACAACGAGCAGAATTTACCGAAATAAAGCAATGCAATGTTGCTGAAATTAATGTTTGAATCAAAGGAATAATTTACATTTTAAGATATGGGTGATATAACTAGTTCGACAAAATCATGATTTTCGTCAATATATGAATTTCTTTTTACAGATTATATAGGCATTTAACATAATGTGTCTATAAAAATAAGTAACACATTTTATTATTGAAAGCTAAAAAATTATGGCTGAATTATTAGCCCCCCTTTGAATTATTTTTCCTTTTTTAAATGTTTCTCAACCGATGTTTAAAAGAGCCAGGACATTTTCACAGTATGTCTGATAATATTTTTTCTTCTGGAGAAAGTTTTTTTTTTTTTTTTTTTTCGGCTAGAATAAAAGCTGATATAATTTTTTTTAAACACCATTTTAAAGACAAAATTATTAGCCCCTTTAAGCTAGTCTACACAACAAACCATCCTTATACGATAACTTGCCTAATTACTCTAAACTTAAATTAATTAACCTAGTTTCGCCTTTAAATGCCACTTTAAGCTGTATAGAAGTGTCTTGAAAAATAGGGCAAAGCAGAGGTTGCTGGTTCGAATCTCGGCTGGATCAGTTGTGTGGAGTTTGCATGTTCTCCCTTGCGTTTACTGGGGTTTCCTTGGGGTGCTCCGGTTTTCCCCACAGTCCAAAGACATGCAGCGGTACAGGTGAAATGGGTAGGCAAAATTGTCCATAGAGTATTTACGTATGTACGCGAATGAGTGTGTATGGGTTTCCCAGTGATGGGTTGCTGCTGGAAGGGCACCCGCTGCGTAAAACAAATGCTGCATGGATAAGTTGGCGGTGACTTCCGCTGTGGCGACCCCAGATGAACAAGGACTAAGCCGAAAAGAAAATGAATGAATAACTGAAAAAAATAGGGGGTTTATTAATTCAGGGGGGCTAATTCTGACTTCAACTGTATATACATATTCTTTTATCTTGTTTAATTTATAAACGCAGCAAGGTTACTGTTGTAAAAAATTTATGTAAAGTGTTCTCACACTAAAAATGAAAATAAAAAATGTCAAAACAAAAATTATGGCTTTGGATACCAAATGTACCAGCAATTATTGAATCACCCACATATGAAAGTAGAAAGTGGTATTTTTGAAATAGTGTTACACTTTATAATGTTTATTTTATAAAATAAACACAGCGTTGACCTTTGAACACATTTCGTAAAAAAACAAAACAAAAACAAATATCCGTTCGTCCATGCATTTTATACGTATTATTTAATTATCACTAACTGTTATCTTTAAAAGCAGGTTGTACTACTTTACGTCTCTCGTGCTCTTATCAGCGTGTAGAATCAACGCACTGTCTCTTTAAGGATCTGCCTCGGCCGCTTTTCGGATGGCTAAAAGCGCCTTAGATATGGCGGAATGGAAACACAACACATCGGCTCCGTCCTCAGCAAGCATGACTTCGCTGTGTCGAGCTCTTTCCCGCAGCAAGTTAAATCAGTCGGATACGTTTCAGTCGCAGAAGTCTCTGTCCCGGAGCGCCGCGGGTCAGAGTCGCCGGAGGTTCTCCAGCAGCTCCGAGTCTCCTCCTGATGTGAGCCCCAATGTCGAGGCGAGGGTCCTGGTTATCAACACCGGCGGGACCATCGGGATGACGTATCACAATAACGGTAAACAATGCCAGCAGCTTACACACAAACACAAACACGTGGAGTTTTCATGTTTTATGAGGACTTCCTAAAGATGTAATTATGTTTATACTGTACATACTGTACAGTCTGTCCTCCTCAAGCAACCCCTTAAAGTTACCCCTAAACTCAACCTGCTTTCTGCAGTTTTACATTTTCAGAATATTTCGGTCTGTTTGATTTATGATTCAGTTTTTCCCAGGAGGTCAAAAATGTCCATACAAGGTCAAAAATTTGTGTTATTGTTGTTTTTGTGGGGAACAAACACCTGCCTGCATGCGGGGTCACTTACTGTATGATGCAATATTGCATACTTGCAGATACAGCATGCCCAGTATAGTACATGTTTATGGCATTTGATGACCTCCACATGTTTCTAAAAAGAAAAAAAGGCAACTTTAAATGTGTCTTGGAAAATAAAAATCTTGTGGGTGAATACTGTGGTTCCCAGAAAATTTAAAAGTGTTAAACCTAGAATGTAGTGATTGCGTAATGATATGACAAAGTACAATTTGTAAACAATCATATGAATAATATATTAGGCAAAAATATTAAATAGAATTTTAATAAAGATGAAAAATCAAGAGAAAGGTTATAACATATATATTTTTTGCAGCACTTAATTTTAATTTAAATGTAATGTCTTTATGTTTTCTACAGATGTTATGTGATCACACTTTTATTTATTTATTTATTTTCTTAAGTTTAAAATATCTCTTGTCACTCTCAAAAACAGTTCAGGCCACTTAAAAAATAATATCATATTTATATAAAGAATATGATGCAAAAACCTCTAAATTCCATCTAAAAATGTTTCCTAAAAGGATATTTTTTCT